CGGGGGAGGGGGTTCGCTTCGGGGTCAGGAGCGCGCTGAGTTCAGGTGCCATGTGGTGAGCAGTTGTAGCACTCGTTTTGCATTGTTCTTCTAATAGCATTATTGCTCTTAATTATCCATTCTCGTTTTTCTTGTATTGTTCTATTAGATTACCCTTGTCCCAAACCACTGGTTTTGCCCTTTCCTCCCGATTTTCTCCTCCCCACTGCACCAAGGTGGGGGAGTGAGCGAGCGGCAGCGTGGCAGCCTGGCTGCCGGATGGGCAAAACCGTGAGAGATGCTTTTCAATGTCTTTTGTGTAGTGTGACAAAGTGAATTATTTGTACTTTGTTATCACTAGTGACATCACAAAGTATACTGCTTCCTATGCTAATCATATACTAGCATTATAATCATCTGGAACAGATGATGAGAAGCTCAACATGAGCCGTCAATGTGCACTGGCAGCCCAGAAAGCCAACTGTATCCTGGGCTGCATCAAAAGGAGCTTGGCCAGCAGGTCGAGGGAGGTGATTCTGCCCCTCTGCTCTGTTCTCATGAGACCCCACCTGGAATACTGCATTCAGCTCTAGAGTCCCTACCATAAGGACATGGAGCTGTTGGAGCGAGTCAAAAATGACTATCCGAGGGCTGGAGCACCTCTCCTCTGAAGAGAGGCTGAGAGAGTTGGGCATATTCAGCCTGGAGAAGAGAAGGCTTCGGGTTGATCTTATTGCAGCTTTCCAGTACCTAAAGGGGGCCTACAGGAAAGCTGGAGAGGGACTTTTTACAAGGGCGTTTAGTGATAGGACAAGGAATAGTGGCTTTAAACTAAAAGAGGGCAGATTTCCATTAGAACAAAAGAACAAGTTCTTCGTTCTGAGGGTGGTGAAACACTGTAACAAGGTTGCCCAGAGAAGTTGTGAATGCCCCATCCCTGTATACATTCAAGGCCAGTGTCCCTGCCCATGGCAGGGAGGTTGGAACAAGATGGTCTTTGAGGTCCATTCCAACCCAAACATTTCTATGATAACAATATTGACTTTAGATAATGTTACATACATTCAATTCTGAATGGACAAAATTAGCAGCCTTCTATTCCATCAGTGGGAGCATAAACATCAATAAAGTGATAATTGTGCTAGTTCATCCATTCTGTTGGGAGCAGGTGTGTTTACTGTCTGGTTTTTAACCTCAGTAACTGCAAATTAATGCAATACCATTTGAATAGTTTCGTTTCATGTCTTGTAATCTTTCATCCATTCCTATGAGATGCAAATTTGCTGACTTTGAAAGATCACTTTCCCTGGCTATATTTTCTAAATGGGAACATTACACTATATTGATTGTATTTCTGTAATTTCTCCCCCTTCTGCATGTTTTTGAGCACTATACACCCCATGTAAGGCCAAAATATTTTGGTTCAAATTTTCAGTTATTATTCCTTCTACTTTTCATATATCTGCAGCACAGTTTGTGTGCACATCAGGAGTGGGTGTTGAGCCTCAGTTTCATAGTTTTATTCTTACACTTATTTATACTTATTTATATATATATTTATTCTTATACTTATTTATACACTTATTAGTTCGTTAGTTAATCTTGTATCCAACTTGACAAACTTTGAATTCTTTTTAATCTGTGTTTTGATGAATTTTGCTGGGAGACCTTAGTCTCTATAAAAGCATGTTACCTAGTTCTTCAGATGATAGGACTACTGGAGCTTTCTGATGCATTGAGGTCTATGCTCTCTAAAAACATTGAAGTGAACTGTGTAATAAAGATCATCCTGAGGTATACAGAGACTCAAGATTAAGGGCTATATGGTTACTTCTGGAGATAGTAAGTATAACATTATTTTAGGTTCCTTTTAAATAATTTGTGTATTCTTTCATTGCTATAGGATTCTTCCTTTGAAGATAGATATGATGGCTATCTGACTTTGGCAGAATATGTACAAGACTTCCTGAATCACCTCATCGAGCAGCCAGGTTGTTTTGAAACTGAAATAGAGCAGTTCACTGAAACACTGAATGGCTGGGTCACGACAGATGAAGCTTTACAAGAACTTGTTGAACTCGTCTATCAGCAGGTAGCCTGTGTATTCTGTCTTATGACATGGATATTATGCCTCTGTTACCTAGTGTCCAAGATGTGCGTACCAGTATTATTTGTTATGCAATTGTACCTGCATAGTGTTGTAATGATTTGAATTTTTCTTTTAGACTGAAACATGCAGGGAAAGATTTTGCTCGGTACATTGAAATGGTAGCTCAAGTGTGGTATACCTGGAAGGCTGATACATTTCGCCAATTTAATCTGTTTCTGTCGTTGTGTATTTGAATCTCCTGGATCACATACAAGAGTTGAAATTACAGCACGTAATTAAAGGGAGATATATTTGAATTGCTGTGTTTATATAGTAGAGATTGGAGAAACTCTTAAGCATTGTCAGAGTTGTACGTTTTTATTCTATTATGGAAAAAAATTTCTTGATAATACTTCTTGGTATTTTAAAAAATTGAATTTATACCTACTGTACATATCACCCTGTGGGGAATGCTCCTTTATTGTCTGGCTTTCTTCTTCGTTGGGAATATACCTATTTCAGAGCAGCGTAACTGGAGGAAAGGAAAGCTCCTGTAATGGTAACTAGGTCCAGTCCCATTGATGGCCATGGAAATGAGGGCAGAGACCTTTTGCTGAACTCTGTACTAATTGGAGACATTAGAAAGAACAGCTTAATACGTGTTCCTTAGCAAATGAGCTACTGGTACTGTCTTTTGGGCTTGCTGCAGAGAATGAATTCACACTTGTGCTTGGTTTTAGTTATGTTGGGGGTTTCTCTCTCTTCTGAGTTGATTGCTTTCAAGTTCTACCTTGAAGAATGCAAACTTTTATTCACCTTTGAAGTGCAGATACTGGCAGAATATTTTTACTGTAAAATATTCTCGTGTATGTAGAAGCTGCATGACTGGTTAGTCATTGCAGAGAACCATAGACAATCAAGTTCCTTATTATCATACACAATTGTCGCACATTTAATTCAGAACAGTTTAGTTAGATGTTAAGATTACCTGTGCTGTGTTTGGCATTTCCCCATCCTTTATTTAAACATATGGAGGATAGTTAAAAAAAAGTGAGCATATTCTGTTGAACTTTATCAGAAGGAAAAAAGAGGAATTTATCTCATTTTTTACTTCATATATGGTAAATACACTGACTCTCATTTAATGTAATCCCAGTGTTGGGATTGGCTGTGCCTTCCTCAACTGAGAAGCGTTGGATATTATCAGTCTGAAATTATATGGAAAATAAAATTGAGTGCAAAAAAGCTGTGCTAGTATCCAAAAGCATCTGATTTTGGTTTCATGGTATATCAGTATAGGATAGTGTTCAAGTGTAAGTCACCTATGCTTAATATTCTTCTGTTTTGAGCAGAGGCTCAAGTATTCATGTTTCCTGACTTATCACAAACCAACTAAAATTGCTGAAATGTATTTATAAGCATCTACTTCAGTAATATTAATTTAACCCAACTGAGCAGATTTACAGATGCTGGGTTCATGACGGAAAAGGACTAAAATGAAAGAAACCCAGGTCCTGTACACTCTTACCTTCCTCTGAGTGTCAGGTGTCTTAACCTGTCTATAAGGATTAATTACATACTTCCCCCTGTTCTTCCTAATCCATTTATGTCTCTGGACTGCCGGCTCTCTTGTTTTGCAAAAGTTGAGCACTCTGACTTCTTAGCTTAAGAATCTTGGCTGTTGTATAGTTAATACAGTGGAGTGTTGCTGTTAACAGCAACTAAATTTTCTCGAGGTAGGTATCGGTAGATTAGCCTTCATGCTCAGGTTGTGATTTTTTTGAGTTGGAGGTAAGCTCGGATTACCAGCAACAATAATTCAGGGGAGTTGGTATTGCACTGTAATGACTGGTTATTAAGAACATGTAAGGTGGTTTTTTGGTCTCTGTGTGCTGTGCCAGGTCACAACACCCAAAATCTAATTGTTTCAGTATTTGGTGCGACCACAAATACAGACCAACTAATCAGGAAGATAATATTTAAAAATTATGGATGAGATTCGAGGAATTCATGTATGTGTTTATTGGGGTTTTGGGTTTGTTTTCTTGATAGGAAAGAGAAGTGTAGTTTAAGTGATGTATTTGGCCTTATAAAAAAAGGAGGGCTTCTAGTCCAAGCAACTGATTGAATCAAAGAACCAAAAAGTTCATTAACTATATCACATGCCTCTTACTGGAACCCAAATTCTATTTGACTGTCTTAATTACTTAAACTTGTTGTATCTTTCAAAGACACTTCAGTTCTTTCCAGTGACTTTACGCATATAGAACATTGAGTGCAAATTTTTCTCTGCCTGTACAAGGTAACTAGCTATAATGCAAGATGCTTTTTTCAAACGTGTTAGAAGCAGAAGCATGCAAGCACGTCTGTAGCACTGATAGATGATCAAGATGTAAAAGGAATGTTCAAAGATAAAGCCATAGATGTTTAATGAATTCCTAGTATTCCCGTTTTCTTTTGATAGAGCTGATGGAGTTATTTACACCAGAACCTCCTTTCACTGAAGTTTTATCTGAGAAGTAATCTCAAATTCAAGTATTGTTAGAAGAGAGTTCAAAACAAGTGAACAGTAATAAAGTGCCAAAATAAGGGGATGTTCTGTGTTAAGTTCTATGAGATGTTGAATGTGGATGGTATTGAATTTCCAATTACTTTTTTCCACCTCTTGAAATGTTGAAGTACCAGATTTAAAGCAAAATATTTTTCAGACAGTCTATAACTTAACGTTGTGGAATTTCATTTCTACCACCTGTTTTGAGATGATGAAAGTATAAATGTTCAACAGTAACAGGACTTGTTTTAGAAACAAAGACTCGTCAAGAGCTATTAACTGTAATGATAGAGTTTTAACCTCTGAATCAGGAGTTTGCTATTCTGCAAATTGCTAGTGCTCATACAGGAGAAAGTAATTATCTTTACTTGCTGTGTTCTTGTACTGTTTCCCTGGGATAAATAGCTCTTAGACTGAATGAAGGTGACTTTTTTTTTATTTTGTTTTAGTGTACTCATTGCTCCTTGAGAGAGTGCATGTCCTTGAAAAAGTGTCGTAATGTCCACTGTTGATTTTTGTAGAAACAGTTTGTAAGTGACTCTCAGACACTCTTTGGTGTAGGTCACAATGGAGAAGTAGAGTTGAGGACGCATGGCATAAAGGTGGTTGTTTTCTTAAACCCACAAAATCACAGTATAATGAACTTCTAAGTGCTGAAATGCATATAGCAAAGTGTTGATAAGATGCAAATGTTAACATGGCAAATAGTAATTATTAATCATCTGCTCTTCAGTTATCTAATGTACTGTTGTTAAACACAGTTTTCCAAAAAGCTGTTAAAGATACTTCCTGATAGCCCAATCACAATTTGATGAATAATTTATTTTTCTACTTTTATTTTGGAAGGCCACGTCTGTCCCACATTTTTCCTACATGGGAGCACGGTTATGTAACTATCTATCTCACCACTTAACCATTAGTCCAGAAAGTGGGAACTTCCGACAGTTGTTACTTCAAAGGTCAGTACCATCATGTCATTTTAAGCCTGTTACTTTCCCAGGTTGCATGTCTTCCTATTTTATATATAACTCCTAAATCATGTGCAAAGAGGTATATATTTAAAATAGAACTTTAGACTGGGGATTGTTAAAGCACAGGTACATACTCTATATTGAATATATATCTTTTTTAATATATTAATATTGTTAAATATGAAAACAAGACTCTGTTTGGAGTTTTGTAGGCTCTTTTGAACTGAATATCTTAGACTGATCCCAAATTACAGGATAAATTTGAAACCTGGTGAACTTCAAAAGTATACTAAGTGCATATGTACTGTCTTTGTCCTTTGACTTTTGCCAGGACTTATTTAATTGTGGTTTTTTCTTTAATTACTTTTCTGGCTGGAGTTGCTGTGTAAGGTTTATTCATTGATTGGCTAACTGGTTTTATATCTATGAAGCAGATGCGTAAAATCCAGAAGGATAAATTTCTTCAGTTTTCAGTTACTACAGAGTTCTAGGGTCTTACGGTTTAATAATGATTAGACTTTGTAGGTGAGGAAAATGCAGCATTTTTTAAATTCATAATTTCCTTTTAAATCTTACTGCATGGTATTTGAATGAGTAGTACACTTTAATACTTCAGAATTCTTTAGAAATTAACCTCTTTTTCTTTAAGGACTTCTGGCTTTCTAAGCTTCAGGTTTTTAAAAGCTTCTTATTTTAAAAGTTTCATATAGTCTACCTATGTTTAGGAGGAAAAGCATGATAAAATTTATCATGCAGTGCATTCTGATGATCTTTTATCAGGACTGGTACCCTATGGAGAAGCTGGAAATACTAATCTTTTTCTCTTGTTTCTAACCATATCATTCTTTTTGCCTTCAAAATTATCAGTTTTGTCTTCTGTTTTTTGAACTGCTTGTTACTTGAACATGAAGGAAATCTCCGTTAATGCTGGATTATCTGATTCCTGGTTTTTGAAGCCAACTGAACAGATGACATTTAATTTAGCACACTGAAGCCATGAGTTTAAAGTTGCTTATGTTTTTATTCCTAATATGAATGGAATTTGGGGCAGGGGGAAGGGGGATAAACAAGGTAACAGTATGACCACAGAGAGCTCCTCTTCTGTTTCTCAGCCCAAGTTTCTACCTTAAATTTTGTATTTCGGCTCCTTAGATTTTTCATTTCCTCCAGCGTCTCTTAATCTGTTACATAACCATTGAGAATACATTAGAAGTTGCCTATCTTTCTTTTATCTCAAATATTTTTTAATTTTGTTTTTGAACTGCTAAGTAAACTTGTTTATTTTTGGCACAGTTGTTGAACACTGGAAGAATTAGCTCACTGCCATCTTATTTTAATCCTCTGTATTTCTATCTAAATTATAGAATTATAAAATGGTTGGTGTAGGAAGGGACATGGCCATGGGCAGGGACACCTTCCACTAGATCAGGTTTCTCAAAGCCTCGTCCAACCTGGCCTTGAACACTTTGAAGGATGGGGTAGCCACAACTTCTCTGGGCAACCGGTTCCAGTGCCTCATTTCTTCCCTAGATCTAGCCTGAATCTTCCCTCTTTCAGTTTAAAGCCATTACCCCTTGTCCTGTTGCAACAGGCCCTACTAAAAAGTCCCTCTCGCATCTTTCTTATAAGCCCCTTTTAAGTACTGGAAGGCCACAATAAGGTCTCCCCAGAGCTTTCTCCAGGCTGAACAATATCAACTGTCTCAGCCTGTCCTCATAGGAGACGTGTTCCATCCCTCTGATTGCTTTTGTGGCCCTCCTCTGGACCCACTCAAGCAGGTGCATATCTTTCTTACATTGGGGGCCCCAGAGCTGAACACAGTACTCAAGGTGGAGTCTCACGAGAGCAGAGCAGAGGGGCAGAATCACCTCCATCGACCTGCTGGCCACGCTTCTTTTGATGCAGCCCAGGACACGGTTGGCTTACTGGGCTGTGAGGGCACACTGCCAGCTCATACTCAGTTTTCCATCCATCAGTACTCCCAAGTCCTTCTCCTCAGGGCTGCTCTCAATCCTCTTATTGCCCAGTCTGTATCCATGTTTCAGACTGCGGCGACCCATGTGCAGGACCTTACACTTGGCTTTGTGCAACTTCATGAGGTTCACATGGGCCCACTTCTCTAGCCTGTCAAGGTCCCTCTGGATGGCATCCCTCCCCTGTAGAGCATCAACCACACCACTCAGCTTGGTGTCTTGAATTATGCATCACAGTCACTTAAAATGGTGAGATAAATAATCTTTTGAATAAGTGTAAAGGCATTTAAGACAATGTGGGCAGCACCTTGAAAGGGGTAATGTGTTTCAGAGTTTATCTGCTTTCTTTCTGTGGACATTTGGCTGCCCGTGTTAAACTTCCTGGACCCATATTCTAATATATAAACTATGTAACTGTCTCGTGGTTTTTACATCTTTTAATTTGCTCTATTTCATGTTGCTGTCTCAGATTTCTCAGTGCTTGAAAACATAATCACGTAATCATAGGTATTCATCTAAAAGGACACAAATCCATCCACACATCCAGTCCTCTCATTTCCTTCACAAATCATACTTCTCAGCATTCAGCATTTAGCAGTTTTAATGCAGTTCATGATTTCCTAGCATTCTGTTAAATAAGTAGCATGTTAGGTATGTTGGGATTTCTACAGATTATATGGTTTTGGCTTACTGTTTACAGGTGTCGAACAGAGTATGAAAACAGAGATGAAGCCACCAAAGGAGATGAGACTACTCGTAAACAGTTTCATGCTTTTGTGCTGTTCTTAGCTGAACTTTACCTTAACCTAGAGGTAAGAAGAACGTTGCATGTCAGGTGGTTCTTCATTAATTTCTTGTTTTGTTTAGGTAAACACTGAAATGGAATATAATTTGAGGTATTTTTCTAAAGGCAGAGAGGAATAAAGTAAAATAACTTTATAACAGTTTCATTATAATGTGTGTCCAAGAAACAGATAAACAAAAAAGGACAAGACCATTACGAAAAAAGTGTATAAATAAATAATAAAAAGGTAATGATTCATTAAAAGAACCAACCATAAACCACTTTTGGAATGAATCTTTTGCTGTTTTCTTTTGTCTGGCAAAACCCCCAGATAACTACCCTTAGTCAACGTAAGAAATGTTACAGCCTAGCAGAAGCAGATCAGGATCAATAACCTCTGTAATTCAGTGTTCAGCCACTAATAGGAGCTATTATCAAACCCTTGAGGAAGGTGTGTAAATCCTCAAAATGAGCAATTAAAATGCAAACCTTTAAAGATATGTCATCTGAAGATTGAGTCCTTGTTTTATGCTTGAAGTATGAAATCTTGTAGTTAGAATGTTTTTTTGTATCTGTGATCTATCCAGAAAGTGTACGTACACATAATAACTTCTTTGACTTATACCTGTGAGTTCAGCAAGTTCACTAACTGCTGTAGTGTACTTAAAAATAGATTTTTGACTGAATTATTTCAATGGTTTGATTTAAGCAGACACTATAAAAATGTTCTGCTGGTATGAGGAAAGAAAATGATTCTCTGACTCTTCCATTTCTGTTCAGAAGTAGGCCTTGAAATCTGCTTTTCATTGGCTAGAAGTAAAAAGGAAGATTTGCAAAAGGTTTGGAGTAGGGGGAGTTGTCCAGTTCTGTGGAGTATGCCATTTCTTTTTAAACTATTTTCTAGAATACATAAAGAGTACTTTCTATAGGTACGCCATTACAGCTGTAGAGAATACTTAATATGGGAGAGAGCATGGGGTTCTGAGAATTTGGGATTTTGTGGACCATTTGCCATGCATTCGATAGCTCTTCTTGGCGGTTTATTAGCAAAGAAACAAAACACTAGACGTGCATTGTTCTGCGTGTGTCAGATTTGTAAGACTGTTATTCAAAGTCTGTGTTTTAAGATAGTTACAGTATCTGGCAGGTTCTTCCAACTAACGAGCACAGCTGTGTTGATCACAAACCAAATCATACAGTATTCAAGAGAGAAAATGCGACTAAATTAATTTCTAAAACTTCTGTCTTTTAAATGTTTTTTTTAAATATATATATTTTGCAGATTAAAGGACCAAAGGGACAGGTAACACGAGCAGAAATTCTTCAAGAAGGCCTTCGGGGATTACTAAATGCACTCTTCTCTAACCCTGTGGACAGTAATTTGATATGTGCAGTGAAACTGCTGAAGGTGAGACAGTAGTTTTCAAAGAAAAAAATGATTTCAAGTTTTTTAAACTTCCTGCCTTTGGAAGCAGTGAGGGAAGCTGCAAATGAGGATGTCTACAGGGTTTTATGCATTACATCATTAGCAGAGTGAGGTGTACTTATTTTTCCCCTTAGTACCATCATGAAATTGAGCCAACAAGAGAGTAACATACTACTCTAGAAGTCAAATGCAAGGCATTTGTGTACATGCAAGAGCAACAGAACTGAAACCAAGGTGCAAAGGAGTAATCGGTCCCATCGGGTCGTCTTTTGCTGCCTCTGGTGTGGGAGAGAACTGTAACCAACTAGAACGAGTTGTGAGGTTTTGAGTATGTTCTCCATTCTGAGGGACACTCAGCAGTTAGGGTCTGCCGTGTTTTGTGCAAAAGTTTTTAATGTCAGCTATTTTCATGTGGTATTGTCTGCATCATTGCTCCTGTAGAAATATATGTATTTCTCTTTCATGATGAAAACAAGCTTCGTTGCTCTCAAGTTTTACTTTTTGTTAAAAAATTGTTAGCCTCTATGCAGGCAGAAACCTTTATCTTCTCTAGCCATGGTTATACACATAGTTGGGAAAACAGTTAATTTTAGGAATGAAGGTCAAAAGCTAAACAATATTTTTCTGGAGTTTTGTTTCTGGGTTTTTTTTGTGGATGGTTGGGGTTTTTTTCCTCTTTCTTTCTCCTTCTTCCCACTCCAGTATTTTTCAGACTCTTCTGTCTTCAATTCTAATTCTGGCAGCTTCTTCTGGTATGGTATATAGGGAATAGGGAAGAGAGGTTTTACATCTTCCAATTTAAACCCTTCATTTGAAGTTTGAGTGTTTAAACAGGTTGCTTGATAGCAAGTGTGAGATTGTATTCAACCAGCACGTACACTCCTGTGGTCAGTCCTTATGTTGGCAGTGCTTCTCTGAGGCAAAGCCCACTGAAGGACCTTTCAAAAGGCAGTACACAGAAATCAGGAAGCTTTCCAGTGCTGCTGTTTTTTACAATGATTCTCCAAAGAAGATGAGGCTCTCACTGTTTCTGTGGATGTTCTTGGAATATTTATTTGGCTTCACAGCATCCATTCTAAAATGAAAGACAGTGATCTAAATTACTTTATGACACATTGCTAAATCTAAACGGTGTTACAGAACAGAAGTGAGGTTTTGTTTTGTTTTGTTTTTTAATGCAAGTGTTTTCTGACAATATCTACAAATGTTGGAGTATATTGGTAACTAGATTGGGCTACCTCATGAAACCTTGGCTTCACTACTGAAGCAATAAATGTTTCCTGGTTTTTCCATTTAATGTAAGTTTTTCACTTGTTTGCTTTATGGTATTGTCGTGGGTTAGGTTGAACCGCCC